TTTAAAAAGTTTGCTTAGAGTCCCAGAGTACAGCAGTAGAGAGCTAGGATTAGAACTCAGGCAGCCCGTGTTCTTAACCATTACACCCAACTGCCTTGTGTTTGCTACATGTTGGAATAGCACTTGCTTCATGGAGCTGTTGTAAGATAAGATATGAAAAGCACAGTGGCTGGCATACAGAAATCACTCCATAAATGTCATTACCTCCATACTCTCCTTTTGCAAAATTTTAGTAAATGTTTGTGGAATAGTTTTGAGTGTTAATGAGTGTCTTGACAATACAGTAAAGAGATAGACACACACATACAAGAAGACACAACTGACACACAAGTCTGCATTCTCAGAGATACACACATGCACATACCAGAGATTGAATGTGAAGTGTGGGGAATCACTGAGCATCCCAAGACCAGTAGAGTTGGAGGAGCTCCTCAAAGACAGGCTAGGGAGTTAGAAAAAGAGAAAGAAACGTAGAAGTCTGAAGGCAGGAGCATCTCAGTCCTAACTTCAAGAGCATTCAGGGACAAGGAATCCCAGTGAATGGGAAGGAGTGGCAGCCAGGGCTGCAATGCATGACTGTGCACAAAGATGTCAGCTGGGGGCCTGGAGGGGAGTGGGGACTGATATCTTATATGCACTTCACTCGCTATGCTGTGTACTTGAAGGCTGTATTCACCTTAAAGGGGCACATTTTTCTCATTTATCTGCCAAGAGGGAGTGCCTTTTTCTAACTCTCACAAAGGCTAATGATGGCAATAAAGATCCAAGAGAACCAAGAGATCCCAGGCAGAAGATAGAGCCTAGCAACAGAGTCTATTCTTGGGGTTAAGCAAGAATCAAAAAGACTAGCATTCAGGGTAGAGAACCCCAGTAGTTCATTCATTTACTCAAATAACTATTAAGTGCCTATTGTATGTTGGGCACTGTGATGAAGAAGATGGATATGGTCCCTGCTGTCATGGAGTTTAGAGATCTCTGGAGGAGACAGACATCTAACAAGTAGACTGTATATAATGTCAGATAGTGATAAATGCTATAATGGAAAGAAAACAGAATTACAATATTGAAAATGACTGAGGGAGAGGCAGGGCAACTCTAGGTAGATATTTGAGCTGAGAAGTGAATGATGAGAAGGAGCTGGCCATGGTATCTTGAGGATCTGGCCTTTAGAAGGAATGATCTGGTGTTGGAGTTCAGGGTAAGGTCAGAGTGACAGGCACGACAAATGGTCAGAACCAAAGAAAGGCAACCCAGGAGAAGTCTAGGCCATCATGAGCAGAACATAGGGACGCATTTGCATGGGGCAATAAGAACACCTAGGCATTTACCATCCAAACTGGGGCACTGTTGAGTGTGGAAGGGGCGATGTTGACAATTACTCCAGGACAACGGGTATAAGCTGGGTCTATCCTTGGAAATCCAGGGAGAATGTTCACCTTACCCTATGGCAATGGCCAGAGACTCTGGGTCCTAGAGTTTAGACTGAGCTACTTGATCCTGGCTTGTGAGAGCGACAATTCCAAGGCACATTGGAAGAGACAGGATGGAGGAAACTACTATGAACTTAATTCTGTTAGAGCTGCAGCTGATTAAGCTGACAGGAGTACAGGAGCTGTGGAGGATTCTGCCACCAGGAACCAAATAAGTGAGAATAAAGGGAATACAAACTGAGCACATACTATGTGTCAGGCAAGTGTTTTCTCACTTAATCATCACAACAAACCCCTTGCCATGGGAACAATTTATATCTCAATTTATTGATAATAAAATTGGTTCAGAGAAGTTCAGTAATTTTCCCAAGGCCATACAGCTAGGAAACAGCAGAGATAAGAGTCAAATTCAGACCTATTGGGCTCCCAAAGTTGTGCTTGCCTCTATACCATATTGTCTTTAGACAGAGATAAGGAAAGAAGGCAGGGACTCACAGGTGTAGACGCATTCCAATATGTATGGAGAAGCAAACTCACGTGGTGACACTCACAGAGCCACAAAGAGAACCCGGCACACCTGGAAGCTTGCTGTGTGGATAAGTTTCTGTGACCAAGACAGGTAGGAGTCCCCCAATATCTCTTCTCCCCTTCTTCTCTAGGAGAATATCCTATTTTTAGGTGAGCACTGTACTACCCAAATTAAAGATTACATTCCCCAGCTTCCCTCACATCCACATGTGACCAAGTGACTGAGTTCTACCCAAGAGGATGTGAGTGAACATCATTAAATTGAGACATTTACCTTTGCACAACCACAGGGGGCACCATTCACAATAAGAGGAAGCTGTGAGTAGAAATGACGTTGCAACCTCTATTGGAAGAGGCATGCTCTTCCTGTGCACCATTTTGCTCCTGTGAGATTGAATGTACAAATGGGTGATGACCAGACCATATGGCAATGGAACTATGGCCCACAACCTCTTCACCAGACAACCCTGGAAGCCAAACCACAACCTCTGCAGCAACTGGCCCCGAACAGTCAGGACTTGGTCAATAACCACCGGCTTCCCTGTTTTTGTCCCCACCTCCAACTAAGAGGCAACTAGAGAAAGCCAAATATGCCTCCAAACCAATCATGTAAGATGCTCCACTTCTAATGAGCCGCCTCCAGCTTCCCCAGGCCAACAACCGCCAGTCAAGACATACCTCCCCTTATTTCCAGTGTAAAGCTTTCCCACTCCTCTGCCAGCCCCTGAGTCTCTGCCAAACGTGACACCTTGCCATGGCAAGCTCTGAATTAACAGCCTCCATCCTCTTTTAGGTGGGCTTCATTTATTTCTATGCACTCTTGCCACTGAGTGGAATGCAGACATGGGTGAGACACCTTGAACCTTGAGCACTAGGATGCAAGACCCCAAGTCCCTGGTGTCATGGCACTGTCATACACTCTGGGCTGTTAGAGAGAGAGAAGGACACTTCCATCTTTTAAGGCACTACCATTTGGGGATTTTGTTTAAGCAACCTAACTAAATACACACACACACACACACAAACACACACCCCTGAAGGGCCTTTTTAGCTCAGATCGAATAGTCAAAATTCATCTATATAAACCGTATTAATTTGGAACTTGTGCCAGTTTGCCCAGGGGCAACCCTGGTGAAAGGGTACATTTGCACTGGGTTAACAATCAGAGTTTGCTGAGTAGATTCATGTACTCTAGATTTTACTCATTTAAACTCGCAATTTTAAGGTTTGTTAGCATCTTTCATTTGCATCTAATGATTGATATGCTAATTAAAACAGACTCATACCTATTCATTAATATTTGGAGGCTATGTAGTGCAGGCAATCTGAGAATGTTCGTAATGCTAAGGAATATAGCTGCATTTAGGCACACAAAATTCAGAATTGTCATCAGTTCTGACTGGATTCTTCCCAATCAGGATAAATGAGCCCATTTCACCGACTCTTTCTTCAGTGTTTCCTTTGTGTCCCAATGTAATTCTGTCTCTTTTTGGATACAGCTTTGGCCACCATGTGGCTCAGGATCATAGGACACCAGATACTTTTGAATGGGGAATGTAAAATGGCAGTTCACTAATGTCGACATACAATCCATACTTCTCTGGTCACCAGGGCTTTGCTGCCCCTCCATTTCACTTCTCCACACCCACAAGGGAAGCACAGAGGGGAGATGCACAGAACTGACTTCTTGGTACCATGGGCCCAGTCATCCGATGCCCCATAAGACACTTGTGTCAGGAAGATGGACCAAGACATAGAACTAACGTCTTAGACTTTTGTGTCCTCTACCCTCATAAGTGAGACCCTTTCAGTCACCTTCTACCACTGCCCGAGAAAGCAAAGGCAAAGAGGACCCTGGATGTCCAGCAACACTTCCCAGCCACCTGTGAGTACTACAGGGCTATCTGGGAAGCATGTCCCAGGAATGAAGTTCCTTGGGATATCCTTGTCCATGCCTCCAGGCTTCCAACATCCATCCACCCACCCAGACATTCGCCCATCACACATTTGTTGTGTGCCTACAACACATTAGCAAGATACAGTCTTGATCCTCAAGGATTTCATGGTCTATGGTGGAGACACGTTTACACAAATAATTACAATCTAGTGTGAGAAAAGCTATAATTGAATTACGTGCAAACTACGAAGTGAACACAGAGGAGCGAGCTCATAGCTTAGCTGGGGAAGGCTTTCCAAACATCAAGCAAGCAATACTTGACTGAAGTCTTACTGGGAGCATGGGTTTCCACCTGCTGGAGACATGTGGGGGAAGCATTCAAGGCCCAGGACACGGCAAAGGCACAGAGACTTGAAAGGGTCAAGAAAAGGCACATAGTTTTCATGGTTGGAGCAGAGAATGAGGGAGAAGTAGGAGGTGGGCCAGAAACTGTAAGCTGGAGTCATCTTGGGCTCCGTGCTGTGGGATGTAGACTTTACCCTGAGGTTATGGGACACATTCAAGACAGAGTTGGGAACCCAGATGCCTACAGGTACCAGGCAGATGATGTCAATCAGTGAGGGGTTAGGAGGAGTTGGAAAACTGGGGAATGTAGACCCCATTTAAAGGCAGCAGCCAATTGTTGCCATTGCTGGGGTGCAGGCTCTGTGTAGCCAAGTTTCCATTTTTTTAAAAATAAGGAGCTGGATCTCCACATTTTCATATGAAGCCTCCCAGTTTTTAACTCTGGGCAATTATTTCAAAACCATGCTGGCCAAGCAAAAATCTATCTGATGTCCCATCAGTCCTGGGACCTTCAGTCTGGCACATCCACTCTAAAGCTTCTAGGCAGAGAACTGACACTGTCAGACTCATGTTTCAGAAAGAGACTGTCCCCACAGATCTCCACATGATCTTCTGCCCCAGCCTCTTCTGGCAAGAATCCTTTGCCCCACTGCCCACCCTTTGCCCCTCCCCCGTGCAGTCTCTGCACCCCTCCTCACTGTCCTCCCAGACCAACCCCAGCACCAGCCACCATCTTGCACTGGGAGGAACTGAATGAATGAACTGTGCTGCATGCCTGGCTTACAGGGAAAAGCTCAGCATTAAGGACACAAAAGAGCCATATTTATTTCACATGGACAAGCATGATTCTGTCGCATGCTGAACATGAAAGCTCGTGTGAGCAAAGTACCCGTAACAGCGGAATTGCGTGCTTTTGTCGAGGGGAGCAGGGAGAGTCACAAAGTGGTTTTCAAAGACAGTATCCTTCAAGCACAGTTGAGACCACAGGCATTGAAACCACTGGTTTATCTCGTCATCAAAGGGTCTATCTCCTGGGAGTGGCAGGGAGTGCTTCCGGCTTGGCAATCTCTCGATGAACTGCTAAGGTCTAGGGACAACTGAGAATGGTCTCCCGTCCCACCACCCAGGGAAATTAAGCTGAGAAGAGAAAGGTACATGCCATTTGGAATTAACAAGCCCTCTCCCGGGTGGACAGTAACGGGGACAGACTGCTGTGTTCATAGCAACAGAACCATCACCACTGATACTATCTATCATCATTGGAAGGTCCACAATTGTTAAAGCAATTCCCCAGGGCCTCTTATGGGCAGGAGGGAGAATGATTCTGGAATTGAGTGGACATGCCACAGGCAGATCAACTTTGTGTGGACAGACTGGTGAGAGCTAATGGCAGGAACCCTCTTGTCTCTTGGCCTTAGCTGGGCTTTCTGGTTCCACAATGATGGGACCCAAGATGGAAAAGGGGACTGGAGCCTAGGTTTGTTGGGGAAAGAGGCTCTAAGAGTAAACGTCATGGAAGAGGAGCAGAGAGAGAGCCCTTGTGTCTCGGTGGCTTATTCCCACCTGAAGTCCTGCCCAACAGTTTCATAAAATTTAATATTATATGGTCTATAAAATTCCCGGAGCTGGTCTATCACTTCAGGATCGATCTGTACATGAGTTCTCCCTTTCGATTTGCCCAGACACCTAGGCAGGAGGCTCGACTGTGTTTTTCTCAAGCAAGGGAACCCTTTGGTCTTGTTGAAGTAGAAGTGCTTGTCCGTGATGAATCTCTTGATGCCCAGGAAGTCCTGCACGCGCCCCATCTCGCCGGCTGGGTCAGTGATGAGCCGCTCGCCGCTGACGAAGTGGATCTGGGCCAGTGGGAAGTACCGCAGCCAGCTCTCCAGGTGCAGCGCGTACATGCCGATGCGGATGGCATTCCACGACACGTCCACCAGGCCCAGGCTGCGGTTGCGGAAGGACAGCCCCTCGAAGGTGGGGATGTCTGGCTTCTTGGAGAGCGTCTGGGTGTAGTCGGAGATGGCGCGGGTCACAGGGTTCCTCACGACCACGATCAGCTTGGTGTCTCGGGACATGCTGAAGATCCGTCGAGGGGCCTCTTGAGTGACGAAATAGCTGGGCGTCTTCTCCAACGTGATCTGAGTCTCAAGGGTCCTGGGCATCAGGCTCCTGGGGGACAGAAGCAATACATGGTCAGACAGGGTTCCCTGGGGGGCCCAGGTACCAGGCACACCGACATCCCACCCAGTGACCTGTGAGTGTCTCCCTTTTCCTGTGTTACAGTGGAGGCTCTCACCTGGTGAGGAACCCACTTTAACTCTTTTTGATTTTTTAAAAAAATCTTTAACAGGAGGGCTGGCCAGTTAGCTCAGTTGGTTAGAGCACCAGGTTATAACACCAAGGCCAAGGGTTGGGATCCCCTTACTGGCAGCCCCACCCAGCTCCCAGAAAGTCTTTATCAGACTTGCTTTAAGACTGGAAACAATCTAAGCACCCATCATATGGGTTAAATAAACTGTGGACTACCGATTAATAGAGTTAAACGCACCTGCATGCATTAATATGGAATGATTTCCATCACATAGTGTTAAATTTTTTTAAAAAGGCAAGATACAGTTGTGTATTTTGGGAAGGACACACAGAAAGTGGTAAAAAGAAGTTGCTTCCAGAGAGGGAACTTGAGGTGGGCGCAGAACTAGGAGATCAGAGATAAATGGGAATTAGTTTTCATTGTATAATATTTTACACTGCCTGAAATTTTTAATGCGTTTATTACATATTCAAAAAATACAAGGTAAGCCACTGAATATCATTCTGGCAAAAGCTATTTCTCCAAATATATTAAGATGATCTTTTTTTTTGGGGGGGGGAGCTTGTTTTGCAGGAATAGCAACTGTTTTAGAAATGAGTTCTGACGTCTTCTCCTGCCGAAAAACATCTGAAATACATCCTTTGTGTAGGCTTGAAGAAACACAGAAGTGCAGGGTGGCTGGGACCTCAGTCAGAAGCCAGGCCATGTAACCCCCCTCTCCCTTGTTTTTTACTTTCCTGGCTGTGCTTGAGGCTTTAGGAGATGGTGGCCGGTGGCTCTGAAGTCCCCTTCCCAGGTGTGTCTCTTTCAGGCCTTGATGGAGGTGAGCACCCCAACTGCTGCTTCTAGATGAAAGTCATATCTTACCCTTAAACTGGTTTTTTGTAGTTTAGGCTCCATATCTGAACTACCTGAGGAGTTTTCTCTTTCGTTTTTAAAATAAGGATGGCTGGGCTCTGTTCTCAACCAATTAATTCAAAATATTCGGGGGTGGGTACTTTGTTAAAGTTCCTCAGATGATTCCAATGTGAAGAAAGATGAAACACCCTTCTCCAATCCTCCTTCCCCCAATCCTGACACAATGATGGACCAACCCCCAAAGCATTTATCCTCGAATTCCTTTGGAATATAGACGCATGGTTCGTAGTCATCTGCCTCCCAGATCCTATCGTCGTCTCTGTCTGATCACCTGGCCTCGTAGTTCTTTGACCTCTGTTTCTCCAAGTCTGTTCATTTTCTCTTCCTTTGTAGCAGCTCTTCATCCTGGCCATACCTTGGGTCTTGTCACTGAAAGTGCCCACACCCTGAAATAACTAATTCTGAAATTTCACTCTAGGACAAGGTAGTGGGTTGAATGATCACCCTCTAAAAGACATGTCCACTCAGAATCTATGAATGTGGCCTTATTTGGAAAACAGTATTTGCAGATTATTAATGGTCTTTGCAGTAATTAAGTTAAGGACCTAGAGAGGAAATTTTCATGGATTGGGGTGGGCCTTAAATCCAGTGATGAGAGTCCTTATAAGAGAAAGGAAGGGGAGAAGAGACACACAGGGAATCAGGTGACCAGAAGACAAAGGCGGAGTGTGGAGTAATATATGTACAAGCCAACAACACCAAGGATTGCTACCAGCAGCCACCAGAGCTAGGAGGGAGGCACAGAGCAGATTCTTCCTCAGAGAATCCAGAAGGAACCAACCCTGCTAACAATTTGGTTTTAGACTTCTGGCCTTCAGAACTGTGAAAGGTACGTTTCTGTTGTTTTAAGCCACCAGTTGGTGATAATTCATTATGGCAGCCCTAAAAATCACTACAGATTACAGCCTTGTTCCTTCCTACCTCTACTACGGTCTCAGACTTATATCTATCTTTAAACTCATCTGTGATCCTCTTGATTTCACTTTCTTTCCTGGACCCAATGGGCAATCATTTCAGTAGCATCATCATCATCAATTTCTTCATCCTCCTTCTCTCCTGGTCTCTAATAATGCATCATTCCAGCCTGTCATCCTTTCTCATTCTGTCCCTTTCTCATTTTGTCCCACCAAACAGCAGTGGAGAAAATTGCTGACCCTTACACGTGGATCCTTTATATACTTATATATTCCAGCTTTAACTGAACCCCCCAGTGCTGCGCAATAATATTTGTCGTCACAGCCCCTCCCCCATCATTCTTCATAGTAAATGTTCCAAAGTCTCACCATAAGCTCCCAAACCTACTCATGTCATGCACCCTTAACACACACCTGCTGTCCTACTACACTAGAAAGGATAAGCTGTCCTCTCCTCTGTCTTGAAACTGACTTATTTGCACACATCCTGAACCCCTCCTCCTAGTCTCAGAAAACAAGGTATGTAGGGGCTCACTGTCCACCTATGCTCAGATCCCCTCCACTATGCCTTCCCTGCATACCCACCTGCTAATCCTTGGAGCTTCAAATTTGCTGTGCAACTAGGCTGATACAATTGATATTTTGCTTCCAGCCCCAAGGTCTATATGGACCCTTGTGGGTTGAAAGTTTTAATAGTATTGAGTAGGCCAATTTTAAAAAAATAGGATAGCATTATGAGCACACAAGGTCACTTGAATAGAATTCTTTGGCTAGGTTTTCTTAGAAATCTGGCTATATTATATTATGACCTTGGCACACATTATAATTAGGTGTTGGCCTTTATGACAAGAATAGATGAAATTACATAAATGTGACAGTGCATTTAAACTCTGTTTAAGGACTTTCCAAACTCTGTGGGGGTTTTGACATAAAGGTCTTCCCTGACACAAAGAAGTTGACCTGACAAGCCCTTAAACAGATGTCTTTGCAATAGCCATTGATACGCTAGAGAAGACGCAAGAAAGAAATTGAGCGTGCAGCATTTTCCAGCCTTATTTGACTTGGAGCTCTGAAATTTTGCCAGGAGCACCAATTAATATCTCTCTTTGTTCCAATTTATAAAATTCTGACCAGTTCCAGTGATCTTCAGAGTATCACATCATTCCTTCATCTGTGCTCTAAAGTGAAGTTCCACACTTCCACATCCTATTGGCATATCCATAGCAAAACCAAATGACAAATTCTAAGGAAGATATAAGAACCAGACTGTAAGCAACATCACTGTAGTCATGCCACAAGTCAGAGGGCTGCTGTGTAATTCAAATTTTCTCTGTCCCACCGATAAATACCCTTGCATATTTATTTCTCCTTATGTCACTGGAATAGAGTACTGGAGGCCTGTGTGATGATAAAGCACATGGAGATGTATGTGCACCACCATGCTCTGTACACACTGAGGGCGGGTTGGGGGGAAGGGGATTCGATTTAGCTTTGAGGTTCATCTTTCCTCCTTATGTCACTGTTAAATTTTGCTTACTTGTTTCCAGCTGCTTAACAAACAGCTGAACTTTTCTCTCACCCTGGAACCCTCTTAAGCTTCTGTCTCCTTTCTTTTCTATGTAGCTCTGCAAGAATTACTGAAAGAATAGGCTAACACTCACTGTTTGGACTTACCTCCCATCTGTTATTTTAACTTGCTCAGCAACAATTTTCCCTACATCTGGTAATAGTCTCCAGGTTTTTCTTTGAGGAATTACCAATCCTGCTTTGGACAAAATCTCAGTGGACCTTGGGGTGAGTGCATGACAGAAGCTAAACCATTTAGTGCCAGTTGTGTCATAAGACTGAAAATGTGTCATAAAGACTAAAATGGAGCTCTTCCAACCAGACATAGGAACCTGGAAGAGACACATCAGTTTCTGTTACTAAATCCCTACAGCTTCCTTGATTCTTGCCCTTTCTGAGATCTGGTTATTCCACTTTCTGCTGGATTCTGTGAGTTACTACACATCCTTCCAATAAATTACTACTACCTCAAGTTAGTCAGAATTGGTTTCTGTTGCTTGCAACCCACAAATTCTAACCTATCTTTTACAATATGGTGTCTTTCATTCCTGAGGAAGCTACATTTGTCCCTCTCAATTATAAACTCCATGAGGGCAGGGCCAGGTATATCTTATTTGCAGCTATATTTCCAGAGTCTGCCACAAATAGGGTCTCCATCAATATTCGTGAGGTTTAAATGAAGCCAACAACCTGTCTAATCCTGTTATGCTTTGAAGCCCCAATCCTCTTTTCAAACTCCCAACTCTCTCCAAAGCATTCTGGATCCTCCCAATGTTCTATCTCCCACTTCTCTCCAGCTACACGATTCTCCTGGATGACCTCATTCCTTCCCCAGCCTTCAACCATCACCCGAGAGATGTTGCAGCTCCAACCTGCTTTCCTGTGCTCTAAGCCAGAGTGTCCACCTCTCTATGGACTGGATACTTCACCTCAACGATGCAACTCACCATTTTCCTCCCCAAACTTACTTCTTTCTTTTGCCTGTTTTTGCAAATATCAACTTGAAAGCAGAAAAACTTCAGAATTATTCTCGACTCCTCCTCACACCTAATGTCTTTTGTTCTTGTAAGTTTCACCTACCCACCACTCCTCTAGTCTCCCCTCCTCTCTAGCCCACCTGCACACCCTCAGGCCCCTGTCATCTCTCCCTCAGACCATGGACTTTTCTCTGGCCTCCATGCTTCTACTCTCTTTTCCCTTTCAGTCCATTCTACATTCTGTGTCCACCAAGGAATCCAATCATGGATTCTAAACCTTCTAGAGAAAATCCAATCATGTCAACCATCAATGATTCCTTTGAATAAAGCCCTCATTCCTCAGCGTGGTACTCAAGAGACCTGCGTACCTTTCTAGAACTCATCTCCTGCCACTTCCTGGTAACCTGATGCTCATGCCACGCTGAACACAAGATCCACTCCCCACACAGGACCCTGCCCCTTCGTGTGTTTTGCACTTGCTGA